AGAAACTAAATACATGCGTTACCATTTGCAATATTTACATATCTTGCATCTTGGTTTTATAGATAAAAAGCATGATATTTATCAACACATTCCAACAAACATTCATAAGTTTGTGATCTTTCCATATATACTTGTTTTTCTTTACTAGCACATAATTCATGTTTGGTACACAAAAAAATGAATAAGATGAGTTTGGGTACCGATTGCAAGGGTCATCGAGGAATGTGGCCCGTGATTTTGATCGTGATATGCTCGTTTCATATTATAATTAGTCCAGTCGAGGCCCGATGTTGGTTCACGAAAGGCTATGAAATACGTATCCATAACGACATGATATTAGAACCATTTTCGAATGTAAAGTTCCATTGCGCGTCAAAGGACCACAAAATAGGTTACCACAACTTGTCGTGGTCCGATTCTGGCGACTATTTCTCATGGGATTTTTGCGACAGCATTTGGGGCAACACATTGTACTTTTGTCGCTTTTGGTGGGGAAATAAACAAGTGGCGCTCGAGGTTTTCAACCGCAAGATAGCAAAGGAGTTGGTCGGGGACAATTACGTTGTTTATTATGCTGTCACGTCTCGAGATGTCGAGCGGGAGCACTTGGATACTTTAGGTCCTTTAGAGGTTTTCCCTTGGCAATAAGAGAAAATGGAGGCAAAAGAGAAAAAGAAGAGAATAATGGTAATGATATATGATTATGAACAATAACATTGAATATATATGGGTTGATTTTCGTCTGTCAATTTCCGGCTAACCATTTGTTACATTGGTGAGTGATTACTTTATTTGTTTTTTTTATTTGTTTTTTTATTTGTTTTTTTGATAATAAATGAATTTATCTTATTGAATAATAATTTGACTTCGAACCAATAACAAGGATTCACACATTATCAGTGGCGAAATCAGTCGGTTATCCCGGGGAGGGACCAATTTGTCGTGGCGCACCACCTCCACTCCGGCCATCCCGCGGCGCACCACCCCCACTCCGGCATCGAAAGGGCGCTCAAAGGGCTTTTGTGGACGCTCTCAAAAATTTTCGCAGGATATAAAGGAATACTCTAGAGATTTTTCTAAAAATCAAACTAAGTCCGGAATTAAACTGGTATACTTAAACTGAATTGTTTTAACTCGAAAATACTCGAATTTATACTAATAAAAATCTCGGACTCAATTATAATGATAATGAAGAATTATACCTCCTTTCGAATAGACGAAAAGCTGAAAAAATTGAGAAAACGAAGCCTCGAACGATCGAACTCGTCCTAGACAAATTTGCTCTTTTTGATACTATTTAACGCAGAAATTCAAACTCCCATAATAAATGCTCGGAACTGTGAAAAATGCGAAATTTGTCCGTATGGAATCGTGCTTGAATTGTCTACACGCTCCAACTCGATTTCTCGTTAAACCGAGGTCACACGCAACCTTACGGAACCCCGCAACACGGCTTTTTATTCTTTTATTATGCGCACTCGACTTCAAGCTTCTCAAAATAAATGCTCGAAACTTCGAAACGTGAAATAAATTTTACTAACGGCTTGTATTGTTCTCGTGCTTTCAAGAAAGCACTCCCGCTAATTTTCAGCATGCCTAACAAGGGTCGACTGTTACCCGAAGTCTAGACATGAAAATGACAATAAAATCACCGCCAATGCCATTTTTTTCTCAACTCGGGCTACCCAAAATAAATGGTCGGGACCTCAAAATCATAAATCGATGCCACCAACGCACTCTCCGCTTCCCGTACTTTCATAAAAGTATTTTTCGGTAATGATCGACT